GGACGATGCTAGGAGTAACCCCTACACGCAAGTGCAGAGGGGAATCCGGAGTGCCGAACTACGCCAACGATCGAAGATCAGGGACGCTGCCGTTTTCGCCAAGGAATCGAAGATAAGGTGGGCCGGACACGTCATGCGATTTTGCGATGACCGTTTGGACCAGAGCGGTTACCGACTGGATCCCTCGGGACGTCAAACGAACACCTGGACGACCGCCGGCCCGATGGTCAGACTTCTTCACGAAAGCTCTGAACGAAAGGAATGAAGGACTTCGTGTCCCTCGAGCAAGGAGGATCCACTGGACCACTCTTAGCACACCACAGGGACAAATGGTGGCGCCCACACGACAGTATATCGATGATCGACGGGACGGGAAGGTGATACAGGTAATCGCCCCACCCTAGATGAGACCTCGCTCAGCCTCTATACTTTGCACATCCTAGCTCCTGTCCCACCGGATTCTAAATTTGGCGCGGTCTCTGCAGGAAGTGTATGCAGCAAGCCCGAAGGTCGTCGGGTGATTTACATATCTCCGAAGACCTTCAGGTTGCTGCATACGGCACCAGATTATTCATCAGTTGTTACCAAATATCGCGACAGACAAAGAATAACTACGTTATAATCTCAGGCTAGCATGGAGTCTGCGCAGTGACTAGAGGCTCCGCTCTTACTGTAGACGATGAGATCGAAAAGAGCCTGCGTTGGTCAGGATTTTCCATCCTATTTTCTCGCACTTCTCCATCTGGTGCTGCAAGTTCTACGATATCACATATACCTTTTACCCTCACAGCTATATAGCATTACCCGTAGGCTACCTGCTGGAAAATGAGACTGAATTTCTCACATTATATGACTTTGGGTCAGCGACATCTGCTGCCATTACACATTTCTGCATTTCCTCAGTGAATCCATCCTTATACACTAGCAAACCTTTCACTGTTTGCTGAGCAGAGTGGAGGTTTTGAAGGATTCATCAAGACTATTCCTTGTTATGTCGATTTGCTACCAGCAAAAGGCTGACCTCAAGTTTAAGCGCAGATCCACCTTCAATGTCATTCGATTCTGCTTTTAAAGCTGCATATTTCTTGGTGACCACGTCCTGCACCTAAATCGAAAGCGGTATTTTTATTTATCCACTGCACTTCTGTCTTTTAGTATATGAGCGTTTAACCCATGGTTATGATTCCTCTTTCAAGTCCTGGGAACCCGTACAAGGCGGTCTCGCCATCAGTACCAGTCGCTTCAATTCCAGAAAAGTGTGCGCGAAAAAGTGCAAAAGGGACGAAGACAGCTGGCGCCTTCTAAACCTAACAGAAAAGTAATAGAAAGGAGCCAACGAACTTGCACCGATCCACCGGCTGAAAGGAAGAGGCTTTTTCAGACTGCCCCTCCCAGGGGCCGTATCCTGTCCTTTCCCCCGAAGAGAAGGCGTCCCCGGCGCTGAATTCTATGCCCAGCTCGAGGAGGACAACAGGGTTAACGTCGATGGGACCGCCATCGGAGCGCTGTATTGCTAGCCACCTTCCGTTCACTATGGCAGAAAGGCCCCGTTCATACTTTGAGAATCGGCTTATATGCGATGATGCGACCAAGCGATTCTATCAAATGAAGTGAGTGCATATCGATTGGCTCGACTCCGCCTTAAAGCGTCACATGCGAGATAGCGTCTGGATTTCAGCGATCGCGCGAGGCGAAGATGCGATGGGGCGACCAGCGTGGAAGGATTTGATACGTGGCGACAGATAAGATTCAAGTCTATGGATGAGTCATTGATTGATTCCTGACGCGTCGCGGCGCGTGCGTCCCTTTGCGAACGTGCTACCAATCGCGTCTTCGCAAAATAGCCGATTCTCAAAGTATGAACGGGGCCAAAGCGACTTTTTCGCGCTGTCTGGAGTCTAGAGAAACAGAGTGTGGCTATTCGATGACGCAACCCTGTCTTCCCCAAGCACTGGATGGATCAGCCGGGACGCGTCCTCCTGGGGAAGGACAGGATACGGGGCTCCACAAGTGGGGTATGGGAACAAATCGTCAGCATCGCCGCCGTTTGTGATGTGGGCTCGCGAAAGTCGCAGCAACTGCGGACGAGTCAGATACATTATACGAAGTTATACGACCGAAAAAAAAACGTGGTTGTGGGTAAATGCCCATTTGGGAAGTTCTGGCTACTGCAACAAGTATCTCAACCGGGATTACGCAGTCAGATCGGCGCTGGTGTACTGGAGAGCACCGTTATGCGAAGAGCCCATCACACCCAGCATTCCACTGTTGGTCCCTCTAGGACCAAGATTAAAGAGGACTAGGGCAGGGTTGTTCGAGCAATTTCCTTTTTTAGAAGCTCATCCTATCCTCCTAGGCTCAGCCCACATCAAGTGCACTACTGCCGTCAGATCATCCGCGAGCCCTAATTCATTTTGGGAGATTTTCTCATACGTTTACCATTCTATCCGTAAAACTAACGTACTTTATATACTTGTCCGAATCCTCCCTCATCAATCCTTTTTATAATCACCCAATTGCCGAAGCTGAAATAGTCCGGTGTGAGTCGCAGTAACATACCGATATTTTTTTTATCATAATCACGCTTTTTAATCATTCTTATGGAGCGTTCAGAGTTAGCGGTCGTACGTGCGATTAGGCGATCAGGGCGACTTACAGCCACTAGACGAGCGAAGACTACAATACGTATGGATTGGTTTGCTCCCATAAAGCGTTGTAGGCGAGTAGGCGATCCCTCAGTGGGTAGAGTAAACAAATTGCGTACGTTTCCTTTTCTTATCGCCCGCTCGCCTACTCGTCCAATCGCCTAATCGATGCGTGTACTTTCCTATTGAATCACTGCCCGATCGCCTAATCGCACGTACGCTCGCCAACTCTGAACGCTCCATTAGCTCGTACGTCAATTTCATCACTTTTCTTTCATGGAAGGGAGACTGAGTGACTGTAACGGTCTGGTCTTTTTGAAAACTGAAGACGTCCTCTGAAACGAGAGTCGCAATGTCCTGCAACGAGGGCCAGTTCGACCTCTTCATACGTTCGCAATATCTCAGCAGTTCAAGTTCGCTCATCAATAGCGATACCGCCTCTTCCCACGACGTCCTTTGTACACCATCCCACTACACAATGCACACCTGCTTGCAGCACCCTGCTCTGGGATCTTCTCGAATTCGCGAAACCTGGACCTCATCAGACCTAGATAGCTCGAGGGATGTACCTGACATAAGGGTAGATGGTGCTGAAATGTATCTTTGCGTTTCCACAAGTCTTTTATCTAAGGCGACCGTGTCCTTTTCGTAACCGCTTGCTTTCGAAACTTTGAAGTCCTACGGTTCTACACTATTCTGCACGCCTTAGGATTGCTAGTGGCACGCAATGGCTTTTATTAGCAAGATTGCCACAGGATTTAAACCAACCGTTTGCCTGCAGGGAACCGAGCAGCCGCCTGGTCATCGATCATCAAAATCGCGGACCGTGTCGTCTAACGAAGAATGAATGTTCTAAGCAAATGAGGCATACCTCTCATCCGACAGAGCTTTGTTTTTCCTGATTGGGATCACTAATATCGTTATCAGGAAAGTGGCCGTATGAATCAATCAAATTGAGACAGTGGGCTCAGAAATTCGGAGCTTGCGCTGCAGTGGGGATTCATCAACGATGTCAATTCCATTATTACGGCGAAGTATACTACTCCTAGCATCGTCCTCTCGACAACGCGTTGGATAACGCTGACCGCATGCTCGTCCTGCCTGCGCACAGTCCAACTCCCTGAGGCGTACGTCAAGGCAGGAAGGACTGCAGAATCGAGAGTGCGATGTGCGTCCAAAAAGGCGGTGCCGAATGCAAAATTTCTACTCCAGTTTCAATACAACACAGGAACTGGAAAAATTGGCATATAAGAGCAAAGTTTGGGTTTAAAAAAGTGGGCGGAGCCAGAAACAAGTGTTCATAAACGTTCCAGAGCTGTCTGAGGTCGAGAAAAGTGACTGAAACTAAAGAGACGCTAAAATGCCTTCAATACCGCTAAAACCTCCGTGTGGCGCACACGTTACAGTGGAACCAAACTAGTTAGTAGATAACCTCCTCCTTGTTTCAGATGAACGTTATGAGAACAATTGCTGCCGATGGCGAAAAACCTCACGTACCAACTGTATTCCATGCCGCTAAACGGCGACGATTTTGTTATATGATTATGACATTACTCGGAGAGAACTTAAAAGAGTTAAAGGTACATGAATCAATACTGTGCGCAACTTAATGCATAACCTACGGGATACATTACAGCTGAGTTGCCCAAAGGAGTACATGACCGCAAGAACGTGGACCCGGATAGCGATTCAGTGCCTATATAGGTAGGGCGCTGGCCTCAAAAGCAGCTTGTTAAGCTCCTATTTCCAGCGTTAAAGTCGTCCACGATTACGGCTTTGTGCATCGCGACATCAAACCGAACAATTTCGTTATGGGATACCGAGAGGACTACGAAAGAGCGCGAATTGTACACATTCTTGATTTCGGGCTATCTAGGTCATACGCGGTAAAGCAGGTACGTTCTCAAGGTCTTCAGAAGTACTAGATGTAGCGCTACAGTGCCGTCAGTCTCGCATGACTGACATAAGCGCATGAGCCGTGCACTTTCTATCAGTTTTAGGGATACAGGGTAAGTGAGCCATTCGGTTCGCAATTCTAGTGAAGTTCAAATGACCAAGTCACAAGCCGGTGTATGGGCTATGTGAGGCGAACATACTTCTGAAGATGAGCTGTCTTTCGTACCAGACAGCCAGTTACATCTAGGAGCAGTTCAATGGAACGAAAGCTCATGTGAGCAACGGTTAAACCCTTCGATAAGTTCGGACTGCAGATGGAAAAGGCACAGATTCGAATAATACAGTTATTTATTCATTTATTTATTTGCGCAATTACCAGGACAACTATCAAATGCATAAAATCGCTCGCCCATTTGCGACTTTTGTACCACCAAAATGAAAGAATTAATGCAAGAATCCAACTAAACACTTTTTTGAAGCCCATAACTCTCGTGATTATATGATATCACGTAATGACTTCTAACGATTAAGTTCGCCATTTCTAAAAAGTACAGAACGTTTGTGGTTGGAGTCAAAATATTTGCAAAAATCTGTTTTACAAGTGAATGTCTTGGAGTGAATTTCAAAAATCTTTTGTTCCCTATTGATCCGGACTCGAAAATACGCATCCTCTTGTTTATCTCGTGCATTATGTCGTGCTACAAGTTTTACGGGTCTTACGGGGCCTGATTTGCTATTTTCTCTCTCCAAAAGTCTATTGACTTGCTATTATAGTTTCCCTTTTATTAATTTTTATTTGGCATTAAAAATCTGTATTTTTTATTTTCGATGTATTGTACTTAACTTCACACATTCATTAATTGTGGGTTCTCTTTTTTTATCAGTGTGTGTTTATTTCTCATTTAGTAAGATCTATAGAAATTTTATTAAAGGAATTTCCGTCCTTCCTTACTCCTATTTCTGGGAACATAGGGCATATGGCGGCTTTTCTTGTGGGGCCCCGCATCTCATTTTGGCTCGATGTTCTATTTTATTTTATTCTATTCTAATATTCATGAATGTCGATCGGTATCGTCTATAGCTGATTGCAGTCGACGGGAGATTTAACGAAATCTGATGGCTGCCTGATAGTCATCTGTTGGTTCTGCGTGTGTACATATTTTCCCTGTCCTTCTGCATCGTCTCTAAGCGATCCGGTTCGCTTCCTTTTGCAATTGGTGGGCAAAACCATCGCTCCAATGCAAATTCTGACATCGGCCATTCCGTCCCAACTTAGTTCATCATGATGTACTTACCATAGCTTGTCAGCGCTCACATGTTAACAAACAAAAACAAGCCAAATTTTTTGCAAAGAGGGTTTTTCGAGTACATACCTATCAAGGATTCTCTGCTGAGGAATCTTCTACCTATTTCATCCGATGTGAGGTACACCTTGGAATTGGACTCAAATAAAAACAAAAAAAACTTTGACTCCTAGGAGAAGACGAAGCTGAAAGCCTGCAACAATTTTGACACGCTTCAGTTGTGTGCCACCGCACGCGCCATCCCTCTTCATTTGAATGCTTTTGCAATCGTAGTGGCTAGCAGATCTCAACCCAAATCTGACCTTGATTTGTGAAATAATTGACAAGCACTTATCTCAAATTTGTTCGTTCCTCAAGCCACTATGCGTTGTCGGCGAGATAATGACTTTGTCATAATTTTGGCTCTATCTATAGGTATAGGACTCCTTCAAAAAATGCGCTATCAGTACAGAAAATCAATGAGGCTTTCAGAAAGACGGAAAGTGGGTTCCAAGACGAGCACGAGGTACAGCCGAATTTCGGGGCACGCTACGATACTGCTCACCAAATGTGCACGAAAAGAAGGAACAGGTATGATATTCAAAGTGAAGTCGGCCAAGCGGCCTACTTGCACTAACGCGCAGATTATGCAGGTACCAGTTCTGTTCCCCGGCAATCGCCGGGACCCAACTTTTTTCTGCGAACCCCCCACGCCTCAGCTGCGCTCATTTTCTCCTGGAAGTCAAAACCTCGGCTAGGAGCTGGGTATACACAGAAAGTGTCTTGTACAGTGGAGGTCTTATTACAATCATGGCCTAGCAGAGTGGTACTTCAGCATTTCTTTGGACCTCAGTTTTATTACCAGTTAGTTCCCCTCCCCGGCCTCATCTCCTCCATCTGCCACTGAAGTAGCATGTGAAATGGCCGAGAGTGTGCTCGATCGGTGTCCGTACAGCCGTTGAAGGTGACCACAATCATGACCCTTCGAGCTTCTCCAGACCTGTCAACCTTGGTTTATTCCATTAACGACCTTCATTTTACACACGGACACACTAACACACACATACCGACACACAAAAGTTGTAATTCATATACTCGATATCCGAAAGTTGGGGTAGGCGTGTCACCGGAAGTGACGTGCACTTGATAGAAGTTGCGTGGATAAGCTGCTTCCAACATA